CCCCCCCCCACACACACACACACACACAAAAAAAGGTCACACTCCCATAATTTCACTGGACTCCTTTTAGCTTTGATTACGACTCACATTCACTGTGGCATTTCCACAAGTTTCATCAATATCACATTTATTTCTGTCCAGAGTTGCATTAATGTTTCACCATCTTGTATTGATGGTGGGAGGTTCAGACCCCTGTGCAAAGTCCTCTCTGGCACATCCCAAAGATTCTCAATGGGGTTCAGGTCTGGACTCTGGTGGCCAATCCATGTGTGAAAATGATGTCCCACGTTCCTTGAACCCCTCTCGCACACTTTGAGTCTGACGAATCGTCATCTTGGAACATGCTTGTGTCATCACAGGAAAAAAGTCAACTGATGGAACAACCTGGTCTTTCAGTATATTTAGACCTCATTCTTTGGACACATAGCATTAATGAACTTAGATCAGACCAACTGCAGCAACCCCAGTTCATAGACTCCCCTCATAGGCCTGCACTGTAGACACTAGGCATGATGGGTGCATCACTTCAGCCGCCTCTTCTTACCCTGATGCTCACTCTCCACTGTCCTTCACGTTTTTAATAATGCTTTGGAAAGATGAGCTGATTTTAATCATATCAACAATCTTGTTCAGTGTTTTCTCTGCTGGATGCATGCCGATAATTTGACCCCTCTGAACTACAAGTTCTCAACAAGTACTTCAAGTATCTTTATTATCCCCCAGGGGCCATTTGTTTCACAGTCAGCAGGCACATAAAACATCCATACTAGACAAGACATTCAAACATTAAAATAACAATACAGAATCCATCATTGTTCATTGAAACGCCTGATCGCTACAGGGATGAAGGCGTTTTTTTTAGTTTGTTCATCCTACATCTGGCCAGCAGATACCTGCATCCAGATGGAAGGAACCTGAACTCACCATGGAGTGGGTGATCAGGATCTACCATTGTATGCGCGACCACAGGACAAGATAAACAAACGAGACACTGCTCACTGCTTTAGTTAGGGTTAAATAGCTTGTTGTTAGCTGAAACATAATCACCCCTGATTATCCAATGGGAGACTTTAAATATTTGCTTATTTAAATCTAAATGGGTGACCTTTTATTTTATTTTAATTTTTGGGCCAAGCAGTGTATTTCAATGCATATCCTGATCACAGCCCTCCTGACACTGAACAGCATACACAACATTGCTCTGTTTGTGCCGGGGGACTGGATCTTTGGGATGAACCAGTCTTTGTCGTAACCCACACAAGACAGGCTCTAGAGCAATGTGGATATCCTAACTGGGCCTTCCTGAAAGCAGAGAAGAAACCCAAACAGGACTCCAGTCAGCCATCAGGTGAAAAGGAGGAACCCAGACCCAGACCAGTGGTCATTCCATATGTTGAGGGAGTATCAGAGAAACTGAGACGTTTATTTTCTAAACATAACGTCCCAGTGGCTTTTAAACCCCAAAATACATTACGACAAAGACTGGTTCATCCCAAAGATCCAGTCCCCCAGCACAAACAGAGCAATGTTGTGTATGCTGTTCAGTGTCAGGAGGGCTGTGATCAGTCTTACATCGGGGAAACTAAACAGCCACTGGCCAAAAGGATGGCCCAGCACAGAAGGTCAACATCATCAGGCCAGGACTCTGCGGTCTACACTCATCTCCAGGCCAGTGGTCACTCTTTCAGGGATGAAGATGTTCACATCCTGGACAGAGAGGAACAATGGTTTGAGAGAGAAGTAAAGGAGGCCATCTTTGTGAAAAGAAATTGTCCATCATTAAACAGGGGTGGAGGCCTCCGGGTTCAACTGTCCCCCTCTTACAATGCTGTTATTGCTAGTATCACTCAGCCCTCTGTGAACAGTAAACAGCCATCAGTGTGCTAATGATCCATTGTTAGGCTGATGGTCCTTCTTGAGCATGTGATCAGCTGGTTTTGGTTGTCAGCAGCAAAACTGGTTGATCCACCCTGAGACGGTGCTATTTAAGAGACTGAGCTGAATACAGCACCTCAGACTGAGGAAGTCTCTCGGATGAGAGACGAAACGTTTCTACATTTTTTTGTTGATTTGCTTTGTTTTGTTTTTTTTGAATGTCCAGAGGACCAGATTTAACTTTTTTTAGATATTTCAATGCATGTTCAACATCTGTAAAAATGTGTTATGCTTTTTTATTTATAAGAGGAATAATATAAATGCATGTGCACATGGAAATTCTCAACTCATCTAAAAATAGGAAGTATAGTTTAGTGTGACATTGCAGTCCAAAATCTTTTTTAGAATTATGCAGACAAAAGGAAAAAGATGGACAATAATTTAATTACCCAGGTCTGTTTGTATATTTTAATTTGAGCAAAAATTCTTATTAACTGTTTGACAAAATTGAAAGAAACTCAAAAAGTAATCCTTGAATGTGCATCTCCAACTAATTAACTTTTAGTCAAGTCAGTTCAAGGTGGCCATCACAGCTACCTGACGTAGAAAACAAGAAATACCTAAAAGTTGGTAACTTTTACATTTATTGAGCTAGGATTTGGTGTGATAGTAGCTGAGAGTCTTTCATAACAGGTACTTTATCACAAATATACTGTAATATTGCATCATATTTTTCATGATTTGACCAAAAAGGCAAACACTCCAGCATTTTTCAAAATAGGATTAATTTAGTTTATCACTCCGCCAGGATAGGCAGGTCATTGTTCCTTAAATGAATTTGATGACCTTTTCGCATTTTTGAGAAGTTCAAGTTATGTGTTATATAATAGTTACATGATATGAGTGTACGTTTTGTGCAGTTATTGTAATTTATGCTGTTTCTTAAATAAATTTGCCCGTTTGTAAAACAAACAAACAAACAAACAGTCTACTGTGGATTTTTTATGATGGTGTCACGTGTTAAATATTCTGAAGTGTAAATAAGTAATTAAATTAGTACGTAATTTAGTTCTGTCATTCTGAAATGTTGTAAGAAACACAATGTCCAGCAGCATGAAGAGAACATTTCACAACAAACGTTTTGCTAAAGTCATGCTCCTTTCACCACGTTGTGCATCACTTTAACCGCCGTTTCTCAACACTGAAATGTTGACACTGATTAGAAAAGTACTCATAAAAAGGTGACATTTTATCAGGAAACGAGCCACATTTATAGATTAATACTTTCAGTAAGTAGGCCCATAAACAAAGTGATTCAGATATGTAAACAACAATGATTTACCTAAAAATAAAACCAGTAGATAACTTTGTACAAACTTTTCTTTAGTCTGAAATGCTTTATATACTGTGCATATTGACAATCCAGTTCTCAGCTGGAAACAACCATTGGGGGTGAGTCTTTACCTCACATGGAGGCGTTAAAAGTGTCAGGGAGTGCAGTTCACTGGTGATGACGGGATGGAGTTTGAGATGGACCAGTGGTCGGGACCTCATCTGCAATAATGAGGGCATTGCTTCAATTTGTCAAAGCATGGAAGGAGATGAGCACCAAGAGAAAAGATCTTGCTTTAATCTAGGTTTATTCCAAACCACGAGAGTTGAATCATGGACCAAAAAAATGAGTTACAGATAAGAGCTTCCTCCATATTGTGGTTGGGCTCAGTATAATGAAGTGAAAAACTCCATGATCCATGGTGGAGGGTCAGCTGACGTAGTTTGGGTTTCTGATTAGGATGCTGCCTCCGTGTGTAGATTTCCTAGTCATGACCTACTGGAAAAAGACCTCTGGTCAGACTGAGAACTTCCTGGAGGGATTGTGTTTCCTCTCTGGCCTGGAAATACCTTGGTATCTTCCAGGAGGAGCTGGACTTTGTTGCTGAGGAGAGGGATGTCTGGGTCTTTGTCCTGGACCGGTTGCTTCCAAGATCTAACTCCAATTAGGTGAACCAAGATGGATGGATGGTCCTGTAGCTACTCCAGGGTCACACATTCAGGTACTTTAACTTGTTTTTTTGTAATATATTATTGATTCTTTATTTCTGACATGTATTTGTTATGATATGAAATCCAACTTATTTTAGAAGATTTTATGGACTGATAATAAAACCCAAGTTATACTAGTTAGTTTTCAAATCTACTTCTTTTAAATCCAGAACTAGAGAATTTGCATTTCCTCCCAAAACCATTTGTGAATGCATATTGATGAATGATTTTTGCTGAAAGATGCAAAATTCAAATTCAAAATTCAAATTCAAAAATACTTTATTAATCCCAGAGGGAAATTAAATGTTGTTGTAGCTCATTTTCCTTGTTTCATAAAAGAGTTGTTCTAGATGTTGATGGTTGTGGGTGGGAAGGATCTCTTGTGATGGTCCGTTTTATAGCAGATCTGAAAAAACTGGCCACAGATGTTGATCCGTTTACTTGCACTTGGTTGGCCTCCTGGGCTTCAGGATCACCTGAATGTTGGGCAGAAATCCTCCCAGGGCAATGGCCACTCCTCCCAGCAGCTTGTTGAGCTCCTCGTCGCTGCGGACAGCCAACTGTAGGTGCTGATGTACGATCCTGTCCTTCCGCTGTCATGAGCCGTGTTTCCTGTTAGTTCCAGGATCTCAGTGATCAGGCACTCGAGCACAGCTGGCAGGTAGATGAAAATGCGTCCACAGAACATCCTTTTCAACTCATTTGAAATTTAGGGCTGTAGTTGAGATA